TTAAATCCAGGTCTAAAAACATCTCAACATTCAACAAAATTGCCTACAAAAAAATGTTGAATGTTGACATGTTTTTGTCGATTGTGTAGGGCAAAACACGCGCTGGAGGGAGACCTTATACCAATATGTTGTTTTGTACTTACGTTTTATTTTTAACTAGCTTTTGCCCGCGGCTTCACCCGCGTAAATTTAGTTTGTGACAGATCGTCATAAATTATAGCCTGTTATTCTGGGTTAAAAACAATAATACTGTAAAGTTTCATCAAAATCCGTTCAGTAGTTTTTGCGTGAAAGAGTAACAAACATCCAGACATCCTGACATCCAGAAATCCAGACATCCAAACTTTCGCCTTTATAATATTAAGTAGGATTAGTAGGATAGGAAGTAGGATAAATTAATCAATATACAAGTCAGCAAGCAAGTCATTGTAGTTAATACATGCAAATACAATCATTCTATGATCGATATTATTTGATTTTAGAGTTATTTTGTTGACTTCCGTTTTAGATTTTGTTTATCTAGTCAGTGCATTGTATGTGCTTTCGTTTAATCCTTTATTAGTCCATACAATTTGTTGGTGATCTTTTAATATATATAATTTTAGTCCGAAATAATATTCAAAATCATCAGAAATATAAAACATTTTTATTTTTTAAAGACTTTTGTGTGCACTCTTCTAGAGATAAAGAGATTCTGATTCTCTCATAAACTATCGAATGATCATATTGATTCTTCTAGCTGATTCGATTCGACAGATATTTTAGAATAAAATACATGGTAGATAATGATATAAACAAATAATACTACGGCGTTAAAGGGTTAAGCGTAAGAAACAAAATGGTTTATAGTCTGTAGCCCTATTTTAAAATACTAGTTTCATATTAACTTAAATTAATAAGTATGTAATAATCTTTTATCTTAGAGAATTAATAAAATAATGCTTGTATTAGGCATTTTATTTTTATAACGAATCCTATAACTTCTCTTGAACTAAACAAAATGTTGGCAACACTACATCAAGGTATTAAAAAAAAACTTGACATCCGAACGGTGAGGTAGGCTCTTTTTCTGTTTTCAGTCCGTAAAATAGTGAAAATTACGCGATTTTCGTGATAGTTTGTAGCAGATTACTCCACTTTGATGCCTAAAATTTACTGAGGTAAGTTTTGTTTGCATAAACATCGATCAACTTCAACCGTGGACCAATATTATTATTGTCGGCGGAGTATATCTTTTTAAAGGTTAATCTTCATCTAATACTATTTTAAAGTAAATTTCGGATATTTACACTATTAAAGATGCTATGTATTTAGTAATTAACACATATGTTGTTAATGTCAAACATTATTTGAGAAGTTCTCCCGAGAAAATGTCTCAGGATCCAAGTGAAGTCGCCATGCGTGCTTTGACAATACGAGCCAGCCAGTTATTTTGCAGGGCACCTCGACCCGTTGTAAAGTGTGTATTTTTGCTCTACAAACACGAAAATTAGGTTGCGGCCACTTCATATGATTGCAAAATCGAGTTTGAAATTGTTGATAAAAAGTTGCGTAGGGTTTTCGGAGCGCAGCACTATTTATTTGTTTATTGCACAGCTCGAAGGACGACAACATTCATGCAACTGCTGCTAAACAATTAGACTTCGTTTAGGAATGTCATTCAAATTCTAAATCCATTAATCATATCTTTGAGCTCTGCTCAGACTGATACAAATTTTCCCATTATATTGAAACAAATATTGAAATGTTTATCTACATTTCAATATTTGTCTGCTGTAAATCATTTTGTTAAACTGTTTTGTACAAACTAAATGAGAATAAAATAAATACTTAAATAACTTTGACTACTTACTTATTTGCCTGAATATACAGTAGAACGCCGATTATCCGAACGCCGATTAACCGAATCGCCAATTATCCGAATCGGTCCTAAGCGTAATATAAATAATTAAAACCAAGTAATTTTTGATTTTTTTGTTTGAATTCGGATATATTTCAACTGAGCGTTATTGTAGCAGTTCTACAATAACGCCAAGTAGAAATATATCTGTTTGTTAAACTAATTAAACTTTATTCTATGTGTGACAGTTGGTTTTTCTCTATTACCAGTCTATGTCCGATTATCCGAATTTTCGATTATCCGAATCGACCCCGGTCCCAATTAATTCGGATAATCGGCGTTCTACTGTAATAAGTACCAAATGTGGTCAAATAGCTAGCAGTCTTACTACAAAATGGTGACACATGCAGTGTAACCTGGTTTAAAGTGATATTTAGTATGAAATTATATTTTAAACTACTAATTACTATAACATGGATGTAATTTGTTTGTAGTTAGGAGGTACTATCCGTTCGCGATAAGTTATGACATCACTCGAAGGAAAGCATCTATAACTATAGCAAACTATATTGAAAATATTTTTTATTTATTAATATTGGTAAAAATTGTGTATTTGCGTAATATAAGACAATTGGGTTTAATCACTAATTAATTGTTGACGCGCATTCCACAGACTGGCAATATTAGCGCGAACGGGTACAAGATTTTTATATATTTTGTTATTTCATAATATTTTCTTTACATTGTTTGCACATTACATAATTACACCTATTAACTAATGCTTCATTAGTAATTATTTTTTATTAATACTACAATAATTTGCTAATTACACTTCTTAACTTAATGTTATGTTATTTATTAAATGCTAACTTAATGATTCATTTTAATTATGAGCAATATTTGGTAGATATTGATCTAAATTATTTACATCAAAAAGACTGTCAAAGTGTCAATTTGCACTTCAGTCAACTCATAGACTGGCTTATTTCTTCAATTTTATTTACCATTGTAAGCAGTGGGTCTAGACAAAGTGCACATTTTAATCGCAAACCAGTCGAAAAGTGGTCGAAGAGCCTTTTTTTGTATGGAGTTTTGAGGGATTCGATTTTCGATTCGATCAAAAAGTGCACTTTGTCTAGACCCACAGCTGATGATACAGTCATTCAGCATTATGAATTGAGAGCATCTGTCAATTCTAGAGGGAAAAATTACCTAGTTGAAAAATATGATATGATTACAATGAGTAAAAAATATACATACATTGTATTGTGGGTGTGTTAAATGTATTTCGTTGCACGATATAGTATTATACTATAACTATGTGCCTCAAGTTTGTAAGTGTTAAAGTTCTGAGTTTTCATGATTAATCAGCAATAACCATAAAAATGGTGTATTAATTATGATTTCATTTTCATATTATTTATCTATACTGGTTAAATACTCAACATTGGCCCATATTGCTTGCTGTCCCAAAGCAGTGGTAGGGTTGGGATCTGCATAATTGCCTTTGGAAGTCTACTTACATTAATAAACGATTTGATAAGGGGGTGTTATGTAAATTTGTACGCCGACCTTGGGCCAAACATAGTGATACCGACTACTTAATTTTTAACACCTGTAATATGTAATTTACGTATGTTCCACTAATAAACGAATTTTGATTTTGGTGTTATGTGTGTCCGTTAGGAATGATGATTTTGCAATTACAGGGCAGCGTATAGCAGAGGGCTGTATTGGCGCATTGTAAACAACAGCGATGGTAATGGAGGCGTCCCCGTCCCCGCAGAGCGTCGGCCGCGAGTTTGTCCGCCAGTACTACACGCTGCTCAACAAGGCGCCCGCCCATCTGCACAGGTCAACCATATTTAAAATTTCTTTTTTTGCCTTGCACTTAATCCATAAATGGTCCAGAGGTGCAATTGTGTAAAGCAATCGTATTCATTTGACAGTTCAAAACATAATATGGTATATTCTGTCAAATGGTTTGTTAAACAGATTTTATCTAGCGTTTTGATCTGTCAAATGAATACGATTGCTTTACAGTACACAATGTAGAAGTTTCGTGATGTTGAAAACATTATATTTCACTGAATGGGATTAAAATATAGACCAAAACTAAAAAGTCAGTGAAGTTATTTTTGAAATCCTGCAGCTGAGAAATTAATTATTTAAATTACCTACATATTTTCGCGTGGAAATTAATAGGCGGTTACGAAACTGTCGAAAATTACACTGTCAAAGTCTTCTTCTTTTTGCATTTGGCCAGGTCTTGGATAATGTCAAAATAATGGTTTTAAAATACATCATTTTTCAAGTTTGATCAATAGAAAAAAATTGGAAACTTCTCTATTGCATCTCAGGTCCAGTGACTTGACTGTTTACAACAAAGTATGTATAGCCTGACCAGGAACATAAAAACCCTCGCCATGTTGCGGAAAACTCAAATTCCACGTATTCAGAATGAAAAAACTGGGTTATTTTAAATTAAAAAAATTTAGATTTATTTTTTTTAATTTAAAATTTAGAAGAAACGGTTTTTTTATATTAAATCCTAATCGAAGCATAGATTTACATTGCAAATATTTTATGGTGTTTTTAGAATCTCACGTGAGATTGTAAGGAGGGGGAGGGGGTCTGGAAAAATCTCACCAAATCTTACCAAGGGTGGTGGGGGGGTTGAAAAATCGCCAAAATTGTCTCACGTAATTAATGGACGCCCCACCAGTAGCCCCCTTGACGCTTGAACACCTTAGGGCCCTCGCCCACAGGTCGAGTCTTATGAAATCTAAAATTAACCATTACATGGCTCATCATCTGTTAACAGCCTATCGCTATATTCCCTGCATAGTGGTTGAGTGAAGTGATGGCTTGTTCACACATCATGCGAGTGAATAGACTTTGCTTTTGAGGGCTGGTCAAACCAACATATGCCTTAAATCCTTTATAAAAAAAAAATTCAAAACACATAAAGTCCGGTCGCCGAGCACGTAGAATTTCGACCAATGACCCCAATTATATTCTGTCGCGACTGTGCGACGGGCGGCCGCAGTGAGTGTGCGAGCGCGACAGCAATATAATAACGCGCGAGCGATAAGGATGAGTAGCTTGGGGTCATTGGACGAAATTCTACGTGCTTCTATTTAGCAGAGAAATTTCCTGTTCATAGAGTAACAATTGAGGCACAAACCTGAGCTTCCTCGATGATGTCCCCTTCCTTGAGCGTCTGCTCCTGCTGCAGGTCGGGGCAGGTGGTCGCGAAGATGTCCTTCATAGTCAGAAACGGAGTGTTGCGCGTCGGCATCACGTATAGCACGCGCGCGTTTATCTACAACGCATACGTTTGTCAAAATTACATACATTGAACATATGAAAGGCCGGCAATACACGGACCGCTTGAAGCAGTCAGGGTCGACAGCTTCAAGCTGCGACTGCACAGTGAACTGCAGAGTTCTATGGACGCACATACACGAACCGCTCGAGCAGTTGTAACTGATTCGGGCGGTCTACAGCACGGTGAATTTTCATCGTGCAGTCAAGCAGTCGCAGCCATACACTGACTGCTCGAGCTGTCAACAGCTCTCGCGCAGTTACTTCCGCCCACTTTCTTCATTCCACGGCGCGCGCGCTTGTGATTTGTTGAGCAGTTAATACCAACTGCTCGAGCAGTTATCGCTGGCAGCTTCAAGCTGTTAACTCTTAACTGCAAGAGCGGTCCGTGTATGTTGATCACTGACTAACTGCTCGAGCTGTCCGAGTATTACCGGCCTAAGTACCAAGTACTTAAATTTTGGACTTGCGACATGGGCAAACTATTATTTCGGTCGGTAACTGTAAGTGTTGTGTGTCGAGAACAGTTGAGAGAAAATAGTGAGTTGGTGAACAGTGATTGATGAACGGGAGGCAATCGTAATAAAGGACTGCGAAAGAGGGTAGACCGATATGTCTGCCCATAACATCTCACCCACAAGTTTCCTCAGTTACTCCGCTACCAGAGTAAATACAAATAAGTAGGTCATCTTCATAGAAACGCACCGAGCGCGGTTTGTATGTGAGCGCGCGCTAATACGTATGCGGCGCGCACGCACACACTGACAAAATTCGGGGCACCTCACCGCTAATAAACGCTAAATTTTGTCAGTGTGTGCGTGCGCGCCGCATACGTAATGGCGCGCTCACATACAAACCGCGCTCGGGCGTTTCTATGAAGATGACCTACTCATTTGTATTTTCTCTTTCTCTGCCGCTACCAAGGCGCTTGCAACAGTGCCGAAAGTCAAAATATCCGAAACCCAAAATTAAGGTACATGGTAGCAATCACGTAAATAATAATAATTAGCTTTTAAGTAAATGCACTGACCCTCTGTCCGATGGCGGGCTTCCTCCCCGCGACCTTGTCGAGGTGCTGCCGCTGGATGTAGGCGGTGAGCTCGCCCACGCGGCCCTCCAGCCCGTTGTCAAGGGGCTGCAACATAATAATATAGCTCTTATTGTATTATTATTTACTAACCGCCGCCCGCGACTTTGTACGCGTGGATCCCGTTTTACCCCCTAAAACTTGATTTCCTCCTACGCTGACGTCGGTCGCGTGCATCGGTCGAGCGTACGAATAAACACAATGTTCTATGAAGCACCGCATTGAAACGCCGTCGTCAGCGGCAGATGATTACATAGAACTAGTGTGTATCATGCGCGCTGCTGACGTCGGTCACCGATGTCAGCCTAAAAGGTAATCAAGCCTAAGGCTTTTAAGATTTACATCTTGTGGGCTTAGGATGTTTGCCCAGGTGTAAGCTCCGCTTACGCATCAAAGGTCCGCATTGTATTAAAGCCTGGTCCGTGAGCACGTAGAATCCCGTCCAATGACCCCAAGCTACCCATCCCTATTGCTCGCGCGTAATTATGTTGCTGTCGCGCTCGCACACTCACTGCGGGCGCCCGTCGCACAGTCGGGACAGCAACATAATTACGCGCGAGCGATAGGGATGGGTAGCTTGGGGTCATTGGACGGGATTCTACGTGCTCACGGACCAGGCTTTAGTAGCTCTGGAACTTTCTCTGACGTTTCATAGGGGTCACTTAAAAATTAGGGATTGATGGTGAAATGGGCATAAAAATTGGTAGTCTGTGGGGAGACAAGATTTAGTTTTGTGGGAGACTAAGATTTAGTTTTAAACTGTGGGTCGGTGCTCAATTTCACGATGCCGGTCTCAGGAGCTACCGACCGCACGGGTCACTACGTCCGCACCTTGTGGGTCATTCAACGTACCTTGTCAACAATGAAGTGCACCGAAGTGGCGGGCAGTAGCGCCTTGCCAGGCTTTCTGGAGGACGCCGACCGCCGCACTGTCTCCGGGTCGGTACTCAGCTTGACGATACCGGTCTCAAGAGCTACCGACCGCATGGGTCACTACGCTTGCACCTTGTGGGTCATTCAACATACCTTGTCAACAATGAAGTGCACTGAAGTGGCGGGCAGCAGTGCTTTACCGGGCTTTCTGGAGGGCGCCGACCGCCGCACTGTCTCGGGGTCGGTACTCAGCTTGACGATACCGGTCTCAGGAGCTACCGACCGCACGGGTCACTACGTCCGCACCTTGTGGGTCATTCAACATACCTTGTCAACAACGAAGTGCACTGAAGTGGCGGGCAGTAGCGCTTTGCCAGGCTTTCTGGAGGGCGCCGACCGCCGCACTGTCTCGGGGTCGGTACTCAGCTTGACGATACCGGTCTCAGGAGCTACCGACCGCACGGGTCACTACGTCCGCACCTTGTGGGTCATTCAACATACCTTGTCAACAACGAATTGCACTGAAGTGGCGGGCAGTAGCGCCTTGCCAGGCTTTCTGGAGGGCGCCGACCGCCGCACGGTCTCCGGGTCGGTACTCAGCTTGACGATGCCGGTCTCAGGAGCTACCGACCGCACGGAGCACCACGTCACCATACCTGCACCTGGTGGGTCATTGAAATGAAATTATTTGCAAATTGAGGAGAGCCTTCAATTTAATTATCCTTATTTGTATTGAACAGGGTACAAAAAGAAAACTTCCAAATATATCTCCTTCTCTCTTCCAGTTAATTTTTGGATTATGGTATAAGGATACATTTCTAAGGGCTGATTTTTCCATCTTCTGATAACTTTTATCTGAAGAATAAACTTGTCATTTTGACATATTTCCCATACTGAAACTGTCAATATGTCAAACTTATTCTTCGGTTAAAAGTTATCTGACGATTGAAAAATCAGCCCTAAATGAAATACTCACTTAGCTCCAATTCTGGGTTGTGTTTGCTCTTAGGCAAGAATGGCTTGGTGTTGGGAATGCCTATATCCATAATGTAGCCATGGTCTTCCTCTGACGTCACAGCAGCTTGCACTAGATCACCTGCACACAATATTATACATAGTTTGATTAATAAGACATTAAGACGTTATAAATTTCATATTACATTGGCTTCAGTTACACTATTCCATAATCCAGCAACTTTTTTCTAAAAAAAATTAAGATCTATCCAACACTAATATTATAAAGGTCAAAGTTTGTGTGGATGTTTGTTACTCTTTCACGCAAAAACTACTAAACGGATTTGGTTGAAACTTTACAATATTATTATTTGTAACTCAGATTATCATATAGGCTATAATTTATGCGAACCTGTGGCTCTAAATTTCACGCGTGAAGCCGCGGGCAAAAGCTAGTCTAATATAATGAATGATCTATCTATTAACAGTAAATAAAAAATTAAAATCTGACTAAATTAGATGAAAATGATTTCAGATTTCACAGGACTTCTACCTTCACTAAAAAAATATTAACCTTTCTGAACATCTTCACGTGCGAGACCCCCATAGATGTCTTTCGGCATCATGGACAGCATGAGTTTAGTGCCTTCCACCTCCAACACTTTCACAGCGATGTACTGCCCGGGCCGGAACATTTCAGGCAGCTCTCGTATCTTTTCAGCCTGGACGAAAACAATAGAACAGATTTAGAGGAAACGCTGACGTTCCTTAACAAATTGAAAAAAATAGAAATCTATACTTTCTTGGTTAAGGAAAATTTACACTTAGAACATCTCCCATGAAGCTAAAGCACAGATATTCAGATATCTACTATTATGTACCGATTACATGCATATCAGATTACCCATTTTTATTGCAAATTCGCATAAGATCTCACAGTGTTCAGATGTGCCGTCATCTGTACATATCATTTAATTAAAGCAATAAAAATAAATTTACGTTGACATTGAGTAAAATCTCATGACATGAATAGGTCAAAACCAACAGTAAACAGCATTATTAAGAACACCATTAACTATAAAACTTCGAGTTACCTGATCATTGACGTAAGCCTCCAGCAGTTTGTTGTAAGCCTCGCTAACATGGCACGCCATGACTGAGCCCATCATGTTGCCCGGTAACGACACTGTCAGCTTAGTTTCTTGTGCGCTTCGCACTCGGCCCAGAATAGTCACTCCTGGTTTTATACTCTAGAATAGCATAACAATATAGTTAATTAAGTACCATTTTGTCAACTAGTATAGTAAGACTATACAGCATGTTTAACACATAAACAAAACTTAATCACCCACCTTATAGCTAAGTCTGGAGGCACAGTTTTTGTAAGATTTATCAACGTATTTTGCGACATCATCCGACAAATATCCATCATCATCTTCAGACTTCTTTTTCTGTTTCTTTTTCTTCCTTTCCCCCTTCTCTGCAGATCCTAAAAACTATAAGAAAAAGGGATATCACTCGCTGAAATTTATTATTCAATCATTTTTAACTTATAATGTACAAGTCTTATTCAAATTCAAATTCNATTTATTTGTGAAACACAGGTAAGGAGTATGATGTACAAACAAAAGATGTGTTCAAGCCGTGATCAGCCTTGTCGGCATACAAATGTTAAAGCGTGATTATAAATAAAGAAAAGTAATAATGAGCAAATTAAATGTCAAATCATAAATGTCAGTTAAATTAATTGTAAGATTAAAATAAATAAATGCAGGGCAGTCAATCGGATATTAGTCAATATTAGATTAAATCAAGGTTGTCAAGGAAGAAATTGTAGAAAAACTATTTAAATTGTAGGAATTCATGCACTGAGTAAAAACTGTTACTGATCAAAAATATAAATAGCTTTTGTTTAAAGATTGAGATATCAGTGCACTCTTTAATATGATTAGGTATTTTATTATAAATTTTCGGAGCCATAGCAAAAACACCCATGTCGTAGAGGGCTGTCTTATATGACACACATCCATCAACGGCTATAAGAATGTTGAAATGAATGAAATGAAATGAATGAATTGAAGGTTACTTTTTATTCAAAAAGGTTACATTTTTTTATATTTCTGGTAATTTCTGACAAGACCCGACTGGCAACACTGCATAAATTTTAAATTTTACTGTCTTTAAATATAAATTTTAAATATTTTAATTGTCATTTTTATGAATAAAGATATGAAGAAAAATTGGGTGTATTTTTTTATATCATTTTTTCGAAAACTTATCGATATCAATTAAAAATTTAACTTCAATTTTAACTTCTACCCTTCTACCTCTACCTTCGCACTCACAGCTTTCTGCATAACCCAGGGGTCGACTGGCTGAGAATGCTTAAATAGCATTAAGTCCACCTTTTGTACTATTTTATTGTGCAATAAAGTTTTATAATAATAATAATACATCTATGTGAACCGTACGAAACATACCCAACACTAGTCACATTCGTTTGACAACTGTCATTCTAATCAAGCTATATTGGATAGACTATAGTGTACCATCTAATTAATATGATGGAATATGGAAATGGAAACTCTTATTGGAATATTATTTTAAGACCTCTATATTCGTACACAAAAGATGGGGAGGAAACGTTTATAATGGATTATCAGATATACGTATCTACCCTCCATAATTGTTATCGATTACTGCAAAAATTAAATAAAGTTCTGACGTTGATTTTAATATTTTACTATGGGAACTTTTTTCCTTTGATCGTTTCAGAAAATAAAGCAAACAAAAGACATACTTATTTAAGTAATTTCTAAGTAAAATTACTGTGAGACGTTTTCCTGTTGTCAAGTCAATTCCGCATTTACAGTTATTTCAGCCATTAAAATAAATGTAATCAAATTGTGAATGGATCGGGAATTGGGATTATGGAATTTAACTCATTAAAAGTTGATCAACCAATAAAGCATTAGTGGATTTGGTAAATTAATTAAGATCGTACAGTGGATAAAAATGATCCGACGACGATAATGGTGATTGATATTTTAAACTCGATACTCGAGGTACCTATGTATAATTGGAATGCATTACAGTATCTATTACAAAAAAGTTTAACGCGGATGAACGTTGGTATAAAATGACAATCTCTCTCTATTACTCTAGAATCACTAATTATGCTTAATGACATGATCTAATCAACACATGCATTGTACTCGTAAATGTAACTGAACTCGTAAAAATTATATTGTGCTAGTTGCATAATGTAAATCCAGCTTTAAGCACTCCCGTGTGTAACTAAATGGACAATGCAGGTACTTTGTGAGACTAAGTTTTGCCTGGTGCTTTCCCTGCCTGGGTCTCGGCCTACTAACATAGTTTTAAAGGCGCTTCGAAAACTGTTATGAACTATTTTAAAGAATATTAGTTTGGATTATTTTGAGTACCTTTTAGACTGCCCTGTTTATAGTTGTGATTCTTATTCGGACTTATTTAATTTGTTTGAATGAATATGGTACTGACTACTAGTATGCAGAGCTAGTACTTCAAGTACTATGGAGTATATGTTGTAAAAATATATCGCCTGTATTCAGAAACATTGCTATGAGGTCTCACAGCGCGCGTGGACGCACAGGGTGACACCCGGACCATCACAAAACTCTATTCAACGCTGTGCGTTCGATTTGCTGCTTCACTTAAGCAAGCATCGTTTGTGTACGGGCGTAAGTTTCCTATCCGCGAGTAAAACTTTTATTGAAAGCCCCTTTATTCGAAGTCCAATGGAAAATCGTCGAAACCGTACAATACGTCTTCGGCCGTTTGCACTTAATCGCACGGTCGCGAGCATACGCAAAGGTTCGGATCGCCGCTTACAACCGTTCGCTCTTTCAGCTACATTTGAGCTGGGCTTTAGCTTGAGTACTCAAGGCATAAGAGGTTGCCACAAATAAATAAATAAGTCTTAGCTAGGGTATACGGTCAAAAGCATTCAAGGTAAGGTGGCATCTAATTGGGGAAATTTTCAAAAATCGCCACGCTTGGACCTGCCAAGCAACCGCAGTTTTTCTAGAGAACATTTACTGGAGAAAACGCAGCGCGGGGCATCCACTTACAAGGTAGACTGACGACCTCATAAAGGTAGCAGAAAGGCGTTGGATGCAGGATGCAGGCCGCTACCAACCTCAATATGGAAATCATTGACCTATCAGAGGCCTATGTTCAGCAGTGGACGTCCTGAAATGATAAATAATGATGGTGATGATGGTAACTTATGTGCTATTTTGCAACAAAATTATATACATCGTCGCATGTGCTATCGACTAACATAAATCGTAAAACATAACCGATTAAAGGCAAATGACAAAGTTAAAATAACTTTTATTACCTAACTACGGTTTTAGTACCTACTCATTTAAATGATGAACCTTTGCAATAACTGCTGCTTAATTGCTTTATATCAAAGTTTATATCGTTCATCCAAACCAGCCTCGCTGCCGCCCATGCCTCGGCCCCATAGCAGGGATGCGGATGCGGGCGTAGGCAGTCGCTACATCGATCGCTCGACCCCTGACATTCAAACAGCTCGTGTGAGCTACGGCGGCCGGAATCAGGCCTTACTTACCTGAGATTGTGGTAATAAAAGATACATTATATTTAATATTCCTGTGTTAATAGATATTGTGGTGGTTTTAATGTTACCTTTGTCTGGCTTTGTACAGTGATTTAGTTTGGCGTTCAGTGAGAGTATAAAAATTATCTAATTTTCAGGAGAAAAAAACATGTTCCTATCTCAACTTATCAGAGCTTAGCTTTACTTTAGCGGTTAGAAAACAACTAAGTATTACTTGAATAAATACCCACTTAAGAAAACCATGTTTTAGTATTCAACAGTGTATTGTAAACTCAGTCATAGAAATCTGAGATTGTAAACCATAACGTGTAGAAAAAGGATTCCAAATACATATAACTGACGAGCACGTCAAACTAAATATTCCCCCTAGCAGATACGGACACACTACCACAGCTAGCTTCAATGTAAATCACATACCTACCTACCTTTTACCTAAAAATATTATCTATACATTTACCTACACTTAAAACAGTCAGTGTACAGTACAAGTATTTCGCAGTCTACACATTTTCTTTGCAAAACAACACCTATATTACCAATAACATAAATAATTTTCCTCAGTTTTTACCCGAATGCGCCAGAATGAGGGTTATGTTTTTACCTTGATATTCTGTCGTCTGTAAATCCAATTCGTATCAATGCGACTCATCAATCATTCGCGACGTTACGACATTAACCATCGAAACATGACGGCGATTGTTTCTTGTTATTGCTAAGTGGTCGTTCCAGCTAGATCTAGTTAACGCCCGTATTCACAAACCTTACTATGAGGTCTCACAGTGCGCGTGGACGCACAGGGTGACACACGAACCATTCACAGAGCTCTATTCAACGCTGTGCGTTCGATTTGCTGCTTCACTTAAGCAAGCATCGTTTGTGAAACGGGCGTAACCACCAAAACATGATGGCGATTTTTCTTGTTATTGTTAAGTTAGTCGCTCCAGCTAGATCTAGATTAACGCCCGTATTCACAAACCTTACTATGAGGTCTCACAGTGCATGCACAGGGTGACACACGAACCAGTCATAACGCCCGTATTCACAACCGATGCTTGCTTAAGTGAAGCAGCAAATCGAACACATAGCGTTGAATAGAGCTCTGTGATTGGTTCGTGTGTCACCCTGTGCGTCCACGCGCACTGCGAGTCCTCATAGTAATGTTTGTGAATACGGGCATCATAGCTCTAATCAACGCTGTGCGTTCGATTAGCTGCTTCACTCGTTTGTGAATACGGGCGTAACCACCGAAACATGATGGCGATTTGTTTCTTGTTATTGCTAAGTGGTCGCTTTCCAGCTAGATCTACGCCCGTATTCACAAACATTACTATGAGGTCTCACAGTGCGCGTGGACGCACAGGGTGACACACGAACCATTTACAGAGCTCTATTCAACGCTGTGCGTTCGATTTGCTGCTTCACTTAAGCAAGCATCGTTTGTGAATACGGGCGTAACCACCGAAACATGCTGGCGATTTGTTTCTTGTTATTGCTAAGTGGTCGTTCCAGCTAGATCTAGATTACGTTCGTATTCACAAACCTTACTATGAGGTCTCACAGTGCATGCACAGGGTGACACACGAACCAATCATAACGCACGTATTCACAAACATGCTTGCTTAAGTGAAGCAGCAAATCAAACACACAGCTTTGAATAGAGCTCTGTGATTGGTTCGTGTGTCACCCTGTGCGTCCACACGTACTGCGAGTCCTCATAGTAATGTTTGTGAATACGGGCGACAGAGTTCTAATCAACGCTGTGCGTTCGATTTGCTGCTTCACTCGTTTGTGAATACGGGCGTAACCACCGAAACATGATGGCGAGTGTTTCTTGTTATTACTAAGTGGTCGCTTTCCAGCTAGATCTACGCCCGTATTTCACAAACATTACTATGA